GCCCTCCGGTACGGCACCAAAAAAAAAAAAATGCTCTACGAGCTCTTTATTCTACAATGTAATCGAACTACGATTCCTATCATAGTGGGTACGTAGGTAGCCCGTAAAACGGCACAACTATTTATCAAAAAAACATTTTATAGATATTTTCATACTACTTTTGCACATATATACAACCATGCTAGCGTCTAAGCAGATAAGCCGGGTAACCCTCGCACACTTAGTCACGTTAAATAATTTATCCTTAAACAGACCTTAAAGTCGCGGATTAAAAGCCGAGCGCAGTCTCGCACAAGCCGAGCTCAGTCTCGCACAGTCTCAGAACGTCTAAGTAAATAAGCCGATCAACCCTCGCACACTTAGCCACGTTGAAGACTTTGTCATAAGTAGACCTCGGGGTTGCAGACCAAAAAGTCGAGCTCAATCTCGCGTAGTTTCCTAACGCCTAACCGTATAAGTCGATTAACCATCATACTCTTAGTCACGTTAAAGACCTCGTTATAAGCCGACCCCAGGGTCGCAAACCTAAAAGATGGGTTCAATCTCGCACAGTCCTAGAGACTTCTAAGTAAATAAGTAGATCATCCCACGCACACTTAGTAAGGTCAAAGACTCCGCTATAAGCCGACCTCCGGATCGCAATCAGAAGCCGAGCTCTGTCTCGCAAAAAGTCAAAGGAACGTCTAAACAATTTAGGCGCGCCAAAGACTACGTCTTAGGCCGACCTAGCGGTCGCATATAGTCTGACCTAGATATACCTAAGTTTGTAAGACGGACTGTTTCTGCTAACTTAGCATAACGACGGTCTACTATTAAAAAAAAAAGAGAAGAAGCGAGAAATCGTACGAATTATCTTCTGAAAGCCACCTTCCAGAGGCGTAATAAATAAACAAAACCCCGACCCCCTTGGGCCAAGGGAAAAGGTTTATGTCAGAAGAGTTACAAAATTAAACACTAAGGCCACAGACGGCCCGATCCGGATTTAAAAAAAACAACGAAGGAACGAAGAGAAGGGACAGATTGAAGAGGATCATCATGGCTAAGTAGCAGGGGCATCCTGCGTTACGGGGTTTCCAAAAAGGGGAGCCAGTTCTTTGCCAGTAGTCGGGTCTTTTGTAGAGCAGTCCCCGGATTCCTCCTCGGCTTCATAAGTGACATCCACGACATCAGTGTCTTGAGGCACAAAGGTGCCGTGCTGATCAGCAACCGTCCCTGCCTCAGCCATCACCCTATCGGAAGGAGCAAAATCTCGTAGCGGAGTCACTTCGAAGTCAGCATCCGAAATCACCACTACCTCAAGGGCGTCAAGCTCCTTGAGGTACTTCTCCTTATCATCTTCAACACGCTGTAACCTCGCCATTGAGATCATGCCGCCGACCCCTTTGAATTCCTCAAGATAGGCCTTTACCCTTCCCGATTGATTGGCCAACGAGGAAATACGGTTAATCTCTTCCAGATCGAGGTAGTGTTGCTTCAGCTTGTCAAGACGCACTTGCTGCTTTGGCTTCTCAGCGGCGACAGCCTTGCCTACCTCAAGGGCCACAGACTATTTAAGTCGCTTTATCTTGTTATCAGCCTAGGTTTCCAATGAAGACTTTTCTGACTGAACAGCGACGACCTCTTCTTCGAGTTCCCGATCCCTCAGCCAGGCTTGTTCCGCCTTAGCCGCTAGCTCATCCGACGAGCTCTTTAACGACTCCACATGGCCTTGCAACTTGAGAACCTTGTCAAGTGCCCGTCCCAACTTTCTCTCGTATAGTGTCACAAGATGATTGGTGGAGACACCGTCTGTGAATGATGAGAAAAAAATCATGGTCATATCTAAAAGAGAACGACTCTCTCACGATCTTCCCCCTTTTCGAGAAGGATCCATCGCTGGGGAAACCAAGGCCGCCGAGTTGCGTTCTTTGGTAACCCCGGCCGTCGTAGCCGACCCATAGCGTTTGCCCAATGCCTTCTCTGCAGCAGAGAGCTTCTTGTTTTTCGGCATGCTAGGAGCAGGACGAGTACGAGCCGACCCCTCGGCCCCAACAGTCTCAGCCGGTGGATTCTTCCTCTCTTTCACATAGTTGATTTCCTTAAAAGCAGCCATGCCTGTCTTCTTCATCCTTCGACGAGGTTTCCTTTCCTTAATCAGTTTGAATGTGTAAGGGCGAAGGGGAGCGAGCTCGATATCAAAACGATCAGTAAAACAGAAAAGACGAGTTAAGAAAACCGCTCAAGACCAGAAATAAAATATATATATAGCCAAGGCATGCGAAAGTTAAGCCGACCTGATTAATCATGTCGTAACAGCGTTGAATTCTCTGTTCAAGCAGTTCGTCCCAGACTTGGTACCCTCGTTCCCTAAGAGTGTCAATCAAAGTTCCACTACCGCGCGATGGAGGTTTCAACACTTGAACTGGGTTATCTGCGCAGAGATAGAGAGTTTTACGATCAGGACGGCCAAGCAATACAAAGATTAAAGGATCAAAAATCTAACCAACAGCGACATTCCACCCCGAACGTATCGGCCAATCAGGATTAGGGACCGTTTTCTCGTCAATCTTAACAAAAAAAATTTCCTTTCCCAATGGTCAGCCTTGCAGTGAATCCCAACCGTAAGGTTGTGCTTATGGCGCATGGAAATATAGAATCGACCAGTCCAGCTAACCCGTTTCAGCTGGGTTATCTCTTCCAACTGATCACAAGTAACCGACCTCCCTATCTCGGCAGCAAGCGTCAAGATAGAAGTTACGTTCCGAATCCCCGTGTGGGTGAGTTGGGAGATCACAATTAGCCGCCGAGAACAATACTGGATCAGTATGCGAGGGAACGGGAACCAGAGACCACTCTTCAGAAAGAAGGATTCATAAAGATACATGTACCCTTCATGCGGAGCCCACGGGCATTGGTCGACAGTTGGGACAGCAAACTCTATGTCGGCCGGTAGGCCGCGCTCTCGTCGCATCTTCTATCTTTAGGCTCCAACTCAATGTAACGACCCAGACCTGGCCCGGGAGAGTCGGCGCCTTCATCATTCACTAGAGGAGCGAACGAGCTGACCTCATTTTTCAGAGGGCAGAGGTCTTCGGAGTCGTCGGCGTCTTCAGAGCCGTCCAGATCTGACTGTCCCGAAGCCTCTTCGCGTTCCTGCGGTACTGCGGAGGGTCTGCCGACCTCATTGTTGACCTTACCACGGGGCGCGGAAGAGGTCGCGTCATCTATAAGATCGAGCCTAGATCGGTCGACCTCTAAGAGATGACGCTCCATATCTTGAGTAAAAGAGCCCATCGAAGAGCTGACGACCGAAGAGCGGCGTTTGAGGAAACAGACGAAATTGATATCGCAGACATAGTAGATCGGGGGGGAGATGTTGAAATTTATAAAAACAGAACAAGATAGGCGGAAACAAAGCTAGAGAGAGAACCTAGAGAGAGGAAGTACCTGATTTCTCTTCAGCAAAGGTAGGAGGATTGAAAGCGAAAGCTCAGGTTTTATAGAAGGAGAGCGGGAAGACGAAAAGTAGCGCTTCGGGAACCCTAATAACGCCCATGAGGAGCCATTTACGTGACCTAAGTTGGGCCTACCATATTAAGCAGCGAACTCGGCCCACCTCGATTCGCCGATTCGGGGAGGGGGGCTACTGTTGGGCATGTGCCCAAGGCCCACTGACGATCAACTCGGCCCAACGGCATTGAGGGAGCCCAACTCAGGATATGATTAAATCTAACCATGGTTAGATTTAAACTAAGGTTACTCCCTAGTATTTTGCTATAAATAGAAGTTCTCACATCACTTTTGAAGGACATCTGAACATTCTTTGGACTAGAGGATAAAAAACAAAACGTACATTTTATTCTCCGGATCAGAAAGGGACTTCCAGTTAACTATCGTTACTGGAAAGTACAAACCGTTTCACGACCTCTTTTTCTATATAGCATGTCGGGATCTGTCCGATCTGCTGTTATTCTCACGTTCTACTTATAACCCATTTGTCCCGACTTCATATTTCAATATACGAGAAATCCCAACCTCTATTCATCTATAAATTCATTCTACTACCTACTTCTTGGTTGAACATATTCGTAATCCAAAAACCCAAACAGAGTGGAGAAGAAGGCTTGATAAATATCAAAATTGAGACAACGAAATGAAATCGTACCAAACCAAATGGTACGATTGAGACTGAACCGGCCGGTTCGCAATTCACTTGTTGGACATAACTGTTTCTCCCTTTTCCTCTCTGTTAATGACTTTGAGAGATCATTTTGGAATTTCAGACATCTGCTAAAATGGTTGCTCGAAAATTTGTCGTCCTTCACCAAGATTCGACCTTTCCTGTCGACTACGACACTGAAGATGGTCTTGAGGTCTCTCTCATTCTTTCTTTCTATGCGTATTTTGTCTCCGATTCGACTACACAATCGATTTGCTCTCATGTTTCTCTGCAGGTTCTACGGTTTCAAATTTTCTCCCTCACTTTGGTTCCTCCTGATGAGCAAAAGGTACCTTTTTTTTTTTAATCTGCATTTGTTTCTTTGGGTGATGGAAGATGGAATCTCTCATGAATTTTGTTATCGAATTTGGCAACTGTGTGGGCGATAGATCGTCACGGAAGGCGATGATCGACTGGTTTCGGATGAGACTGATCTCGCTTCTATATCCGATAAACTTCGATTGGTCTCAATTGGTGAGGACAAGTTTTCATCAGGAATCTCTGGTAAGACTGACAAATCTGATTCGGAAATGGTGAAATCAGACGAAGAATTGGCACGAATGTTGCAGGTTTTAATTACATTTTCGTATTCATCGCTTTTTTTTCTTCGTAATGATCAATGATATTCAAGTAATTTTGGTTGTTGATTTTGGGTTTCTTGCTTTCAGGCAGAAGAAGAGGCAATGATGTTTCAACAGTATGTTGCTGCACAAGATAGCACTGAATTCGAGCGGAGAATAAGGCCTTATGTTAGCCAAGTCCTCATGGTGATACACTAGACTAGATTCTTTGAATCTTTTCTACAAGAATCTTGGACATTCGTATTGATTTGTTGATTGCAATTTTTGTTTTTAGTATGAAGATCCAGTCCGTCAAGAAGCTGCTCGAAAGACTGTTCCTAAAGACGAGCTCGAGGAGAAAGCTTTGGTTTCTCTGGCCATGGTTTCAGCTTTATATTCCCCCATGAATAGAACTATAAGTTCTGATATTGAAATT